GTGTGTGTGTGTGTGTGTGTGTGATAGGTTTAGGGGTACGGTTAGTGTAAGAGGACAGAATATACAGTTTGTACAGTATAAAAACCATTATGTCTATGTAATGTCCCCATTTAGACAGCTAAGTAAACGTGCGTGTGTGCGTGTGTGTGTGTGTGTGTTACCTCACAAAATGTCTCACCGCCCTGTCCAACTCTGTTCTTTGCAATGCTCGTCAAAAAAGCCCACCTTCACCCGTACCATCTTCATCCTCATCACTGTCATCCTCACCTAACATCAGTCCTCCAGCCCTCATCTGTCAGTCACACCAGGTAAGTCATGACAGTCGTTATCCCTGGAGAAAACAGTCATGTCATCTTAAGCCAACAGAAACAGGGAAGAGATAAACAAATAAAGAAGAGCTTGTGTGGGTAAGTGTCAAGATTCCCTTTAAGAGAACAGATAAAGTTCACTGAAGTGGAGCAAAGAAAGAAATGAACTTTTTTGAGCAGCACTTAAGTAAATCTGTGTTAGTGTGCCTGTTTGACGGAGCCGGGTAAAGAGAAAAGCACAGGCGTGTTAGCAGAGACAAAGCTACGCTAGCTCTGTATTGATTTCCCTGGGAAAGGTAACATGCTCTTCAATAATTAAAAAGACAGAAAGAGAGGAAGGAGGGCAGAACAAGGAGAAGAAGAGCCCTTCGGTAATATGTTTCTACTCTTCTCTTGAGAGAAACAAAAAGGCTTTGTTAAGTGTTTGTAAGAGAAAAGGCAACAAGAGAATAGTAGATTCACTGTTATTAATGCAAGATGGAATTTGCACAACGTTAGCTCAATAATCACAGAAAAAATCTTGTTTGTGCCAAACCAAGTCTTCATATTCTTTCTTTTTTTTTTCCTGTGTTTTTCCTTTGATGCGATTCCAGCTGACACTGTGCTGCGCTCTATTGGAATTGACATCAAAATAATTCCATCCCATTAACAAGCTGGAGATGCTGAAAATACAACAGCATTTAAATAACCATACTACAGTACACCATCATATCACTGTTAATGAGGTGACATGAAATACTTCCGGAAAATTGACATGTTTTTCAGTCTGATTTAACGCTTTCCTTGCCATTCCCCGCAATCCATGTCATTACTGTTACACGGTAGGGGGCGCTATAGCACATCTTCTTGACATATGACATGTTAACATGTTTACATTACATGCATTTACTGTAAAGCTGCTTTGAAACGATACGTATTGTGAAAAGTCCTATACAAATAAATGTGAATTTTAATTTTAATTGAATGTTCAGATATTCTATATATACTAAATATTCTGGCGGGCAAGAAAGTTGTGTGAAAATGATTAAAAATACTGGCGCTGGCTGGTTGTTGTTTTTTTTGCGGGGAAAGTGTTAAATTACATTTAGCGAATTATAATTAGTTAGCATCCCCCTTTTATGACCCCATATTAATTGTGAGACCACTACATGAGATGTTTGTGAAAATTCACACACCGGAACCATCAGTGTCAGTACACAATATTCAAATACATTTCAAACTAAACATTTTCCGTTAAAAAAAAAAAAAAGTTAATGGACATGCATCACCTATCCATAATATATGTATCCAGGTTGTCTTGTATGTAGTTAACAGCTTGCTATGGCTCCTCGCACACAGGCCTGTTTCAGAGAGCCATTGCTCAGAGTGGTTCAGCGATCTCCAGCTGGTCCATCAGCTACCAGCCCCTGAAGTACACCAAGATCCTGGCCCGGAAAGTGGGATGCACATATGGGGAGACCGCAGACCTGGTGGACTGTCTCCGCAGGAAAAACTTCAGAGAGCTGGTGGACCAGGACATCCAGCCGGCCCGCTACCACATCGCGTTTGGACCCGTGATGGACGGAGACGTTGTGCCGGACGACCCCGAGATCCTGATGCAGCAGGTGATTCTGAGATCGAGCTCATCTGTGTCGGTGGTTGCATTCACTTGGACTCAGCTTAGTTTATTACACATTTCCCACAGGGAATCGCCACTTTTCAAGCAGAGGATTATGTTGTTCAGTTAGCCACCCAAACTACTTTTTAAACCAAATCTTCAAACTCAAGATTTTAAATAGAGTCTGGCCAGATCTTAGTTAGTAACTGCAGACATGTTCTGTGAAAATCATATGCAGAATGAGGTTATACAGTGATGTCACACATGTAAAGGTGATTTAATTAAGGCCACTGAAATCTTAAAAACTGGTGTAGACAGTTTGATATTTTGTATTATGGTAATGATGTGATGGTAATGATTTTTTTTTATTTTGGCAGAGAAACGTGTGCTACGCTATTCAGATCAATTAACTCTGACTTCATAAAACTAAACATAAAATTATTTTAAAAAAATATTTGAAACTGTCACTGCTGTTTTGCATTTCCATCATATCTACATATAAACATTTTTGGAATAAACTGTTTTTTGAAAATAAAGGAAGAGGAAGGAATTTGTTTTTTATCTTAGGGAAAAAGGGAAAATTTCTCTGACGTTAACACCTTTTATAAATGTTTTAAAGTGAGAAATATAAAGAGTCTAGGTAGGCGACAAGCCTCACATAATATGCATTTGAAATTCTGGCTAATGTAACATTTTCAAAAATAGGAATGAGTAATTAAAGATACATGATGAAACATGTAAAGCTATTATAATCTACCATTTAAAAACTAAGATTTTTTTCCATTCTAGGAGATAGAAAAGTTCCTCAAGAGTGTGTGCATGTGTATATATATATATAACCAAATCATGTTTTATTTAAAGCTAGTGTTTTGCACATGTGATGGGAAGGTTTAGGGGTATGGCTTGGGTTAGGCCACAGACAATATCATCATCCTGATATAATGGGTCTGTTCAGTGTCCTCACTAATATAGTGACACAATCTGAAGGTAAACTTCTTTCTCCACTAGGGGGAGTTCTTGAACTACGACCTTCTGATTGGTGTAAATCAAGGGGAGGGTCTGAAGTTCGTGGATGATGGAGGCACTGAGAGTGAAGAGGGGATCTCAGCTGCTGCCTTCGACTACACAATCTCCAACTTTGTGGATAACCTCTATGGATACCCTAAAGGTAGGCTCTTTTCTGAGGGAACATCAATATATGACTTCATATTAAATTGTGAAAAAACGAATTTCCCGATTAAAAATAATGAAGTTAAAGCCTATAATGAGGGGCAATACTGAGTACAACAATAAAATTGCTGTTACTATTGTGCTATGCAAACTACCTCCTCTTGATTTGGTGCTGTTGTTCACTTGTTCCACCAGAGGGCGATACATGACAAGCAATGATATAATATTTTATGTGACATGTCAAATGGAAGATTTTATTCCTGGTATTTAATGTTCCTATATGGATGTGACATATATTTTAAATAACATCCATTTATTAACATATTTTTAGGTTCATTAGACAAACATATGCATACACACATTAAAATATGTGAATTTGCCAAATGCTAAGTCACTGAATCAATGTTTCCATATGTTCTACTTTATTCCTGTCTGCCCCCCCTACCCCGTTCTTGTCTGCTTTTTCTTCCCTGTAATTACTCTGTGTGTTTGTGTAGGTAAAGACATCCTGAGGGAGACTATTAAGTTCATGTACACAGACTGGGCGGACCGAGACAATGGGGAAATGCGGCGCAAGACTCTCCTGGCATTATTCACTGATCACCAGTGGGTGGCGCCAGCCATCGCTACTGCCAAACTCCACGCGGACTATCAGTCTCCCGTCTACTTCTACACGTTCTACCACCACTGCCAGACCGAGACCCGACCCGAGTGGGCAGACGCAGCTCACGGGGACGAGATACCGTATGTGTTTGGCGTGCCCATGATCGGAGCAACTGACCTCTTCCCTTGCAACTTTTCCAAGAACGACGTCATGCTTAGCGCTGTGGTCATGACCTACTGGACCAACTTTGCCAAGACCGGGTGGGTTTTTTCTAGTTTTATTAGTTTTAATTTTATTCAAGTTTTTAGAATTTTTCTAGTTTTAAAAATATCTATCTATCTATCTATCTATCTATCTATCTATCTATCTATCTATCTATCTATCTATCTATCTATCTATCTATCTATCTATCTATCTATCTATCTATCTGTCTGTCCAGTGGCGTAACGAGTCAACACCGGGCCCTTATGCAGGATTATCAAGGCGGGCCCCCCTACAGCACGTGATGACGCAATGTCCACGAGTAGGCTACCATGAATAGGACAATAGCCGCTTTCCGACCGGAGGGACTTTTGCAGTTCCTAGAACCTAACGTTCCTATAACCTTTTTTTTCGCGTGTTCCGACCGGACTAAGTTGGGGATTTTTTAGTTCCTCAGACCGTAGTTCCTATAACTCTTTCAGGACCTAGTCTAGAGCGAGGACTTTTTTAGTTCCCTTTCCCTAGGTCTACGTTGATTGGTTCAACTTATAAGTCACGCCCAGTGTCAACACATTTTATTCACTGTTGCAATTCACCTATGTATGCTATGCTAACTCATAACATAACGCATTCAACCAGCTAATTGCTATGCTTGCTAAACTTACCCGTCATTTTGTTTGTCTCCTGCGCTCTGCTCTTCTATCTTCTTCCATTATATTACTTAAGATCATATTACGCTGGAGCCTTCGTCTTCTTTGTTTCTCTGTACAGAACTCAAGCATAGTCTTTAAACGCCGCCGTTCGTACTCGTTATTAAGGTCCCGGCAAGGCAGAACAGGAACATTCCGATAGCCTCCTCCACGCTGGTTTGTTGTTGTTGTATGTGGCGCCGCCGCCGCCGCCGTGCTTGCGTCACTCCCTTACCCCTCCTACCAGTTCCTATGGCCACTTGGCCAGTGCGAACGCAAACAGCAAAACCGAGTTTGGGGGAGAGTAGTTCTTAGAACTGTTTAGAAGTGGACAGTTCCTATAACTAAGTTCCTGTAACTACTTGGTCGGAAAGCGCCTAATATGATCATAGAGACACAGCATATAAGAGATGAGATGACTGACTAAATCAGTAGTAGCCTGTCGATATTGTCTGTCTCAAGTTCATCGTTTTTACTGTTTTGTACGCAATACGCATGTTCACTTACCAACCCGGGGATTCCCCAGTCCCAATTCGAAACAAATTACACCAAAATCCATCATTGGTCTTTTCATACTTGTATCTAATGATCAGTACACTATGTTGTTGCCATTATTTATTCAAATAAATTTGCGATAAAGTAAAATGCGATCAGACTAAAAGTAGTAAAATGCGTTTGGGGGCCCGGCTGTCAATCAATATCTTCCAGTCACCTGATTGGTCCGGGCCCGTAAGCAACCGCGTACCCTGCTTACCGATAGTTACGCCTGTGTGTCTGTCTGTCTGTCTGTATGTCTGTCTGTCTGTCTGTCTATCTATCTGTATGTATGCCTGTCTATCTATCTGTATGTCTGTCTGTCTGTCTATCTATATGAATGTCTGTCTGTCTATCTATCTATCTGTCTGTCTGTATGTCTGTCTATCTGTCTGTATGTCTGTCTATCTGTCTGTCTATCTATCTATCTATCTATCTGTATGTCTGTCTGTCTGTCTATCTGTCTGTCTGTCTGTCTGTCTATCTATCTATCTCTCTGTCTATCTATCTATCTATCTATCTATCTATCTATCTATCTTTATGTCTGTCTGTCTATCTATCTATCTATCTGTATGTCTGTCTGTCTATCTGTCTATCTATCTATCTGTATGTCTGTCTGTCTATCTGTCTGTCTGTCTGTCTGTCTGTCTATCTATCTATCTCTCTGTCTGTCTGTCTGTCTGTCTATCTATCTATCTATCTGTATGTCTGTCTGTCTATCTGTCTATCTATCTATCTGTATGTCTGTCTGTCTATCTGTCTGTCTGTCTGTCTGTCTGTCTATCTATCTATCTATCTGTATGTCTGTCTGTCTATCTGTCTGTCTGTCTGTCTGTCTATCTATCTATCTGTATGTCTGTCTGTCTATCTCTCTGTCTGTCTATCTGTCTGTCTGTCTGTCTGTCTATCTATCTATCTATATGTTTGTCTATCTATCTATCTCATGCAGACTTTTGAGTGACTTGCACCAGATCGTATAGATGTAAGCTAAAGTTTATTATTGATATTGTGGATTTATTTTTCTGATAAATATCGGTTTATCGCCCAGCCCTAAATCAAATTGCATTTATCCATCCAGTTATAAAATTGCAATTTTGATAGTGTTTCGAGAATTCACAATTTGGTTCTGAATGTCTCACATCCTCGGTGTGTAATTCATTAAAACACCTTTTTGACAAAATATATCTGTCGTCTCTAGGGATCCCAACTTGCCTGTTCCTCAGGACACCAAGTTCATCCACACCAAGCCCAACCGCTTTGAGGAAGTGATCTGGACCAAGTTCAACTCTAAAGACAAGCAGTATCTCCACATTGGCCTGAAGCCTCGCATCCGGGACAACTACCGAGCAAATAAGGTTGCCTTCTGGTTGGAACTGGTTCCCCACCTCCACAACCTTCACGAGGAGGTCTTCAGCACCGCCACAACCCGACTCCCTCCGGGTACCGCCCGAACCCCACACTGGAAGGGTCCGGGACCCCGTACCACACGCCATCCCATCCCAACCTTCCCTTCAGAGCCGGACGCCGATAGTTCAGAGCCGCCTCGATTCCCTCCCTTCCCGAGCGACACCCGGGATTACTCGACAGAACTGAGCGTGACGGTCGCCGTCGGGGCGTCGCTCCTCTTCCTTAACATCCTGGCCTTCGCCGCGCTTTACTACAAACGCGACAAACGGCACGAGATGCGACGGCACCGGTTGTCCCCGCAACGAGGCGTTCCCTCTAATGACTTGGCACACAGCCAGGAGGAAGAGATCATGTCCTTGCAAATGAAGCACTCGGAGCACGACTCCCACCACGACATGGAGCCATTGCGACCGCATGATATTTTACGTCCCGCATGCCCTCCCGACTACACGCTGGCGCTGAGGCGGGCGCCCGACGATGTCCCGCTCATGACCCCTAATACTATCACCATGATTCCTAGCACCATCACCGGCATGCAACCGCTCCATGCCTTCAACACCTTCCCCACAACCACCGGGCACAACAACACCTTACCCCACCCTCACTCCACCACACGTGTATAGTAGCGCCACCGAACGAGAGGACTAGCTCTCATACGTATCCAGTTTTCTCTCTCTGTCCACCTTTTCAAGCTCCTGAACTTCAGACGCTCTCGGTTACGCTGCCAAGAACAGCGACAGCGAATCCCGTTTATAGACAAAATCAACGGTTTGGTAGAAGTTGTTCACACTAGAGGAGCTCTGTCTATAGACTCTGCGGCGAGCAACAGATTCGGCAGGCAGTGACAAGCCATCGGCCTCGTCCTCGATTCAACTTGCTGTTTGTTTTTCCACAACGTCCTTAAGAAGAAGGGGCGTCGATGATTGACTAAGCTGATCTGATGTCATGAGTTGGCAGAGTGCAGATTTCATCCATCCCTTTCTTTTTACCATCCTTCCTTGTTATTCCATTACCAGCGAAACGCTCTGTCCGAATGTGATCTGTGTCCTTGGATTATGTTTTACATGAATCGTAGGGGCATGCGATAAGACAGAAGCTGGATATGTTGTGTTTACCTGCAGTCTTGTGTCAAGTATTAAATCATACCTTGTAACAAGAGACACAGGGAAAGAGAGAAAATAACAGCGTCTGACAGACAGCGAAAACAAAAGTGCCAACCTCCTCTCTTTTTCTCTCGCCCTGCCCTGTCATTCTATCACACATATTTGATTTGGCAACGTGTTGTTTCTTAGGAAGATTTTTTGTATGTATAAATATAAAGACAAATATATAAAAGAATGATATAAATATATATTTACATGGATTGCTCTGGGGGATCTATGCATGAAATATTTTAAAGCACCAAGAAGGACACTGAGCTGTAAACTCCCACAGCATTTTGCTTATTTGCATTTTTTTTTTTCCTTAACTTTGCTTGCTTAAAATGGTTGCAGAAACTTCTCCCCAGTGGTGTTTTCATCAGCATTACTCAAACTGTAACGTCCTCCTCAGTCTGCCCACTCTATAGGACACATCCAGAAAGAGATCTATTGGCAATATTCTTTCAAATGGTTTTATATATATATATATATATAGTTGTTGGTGCTATTATTTGACCATCAACCATGTAGTGCTCTACCAGAGCCATCTGTGATGGTCCGGACTGTTGCATAAATACTGCAAATGGCGAATGCATATGTAGCTTTGCATCTCTTTCATGGGCCTGTGACCAATATTCAGCTTTTATTAATATCATTTTTTCACCGAGACAAATACAAATGATGGCCTCAGCCCATCTCTCTCTCTCTGTCTCGGCCTCTCTCGTTCAATCTCTGTCCTTGCTCTTTTGGTTCTACATCATTAGGTATTTGACGACCCAGTTTAATCAGCATCTTTTTTGTGTATTGGTGCGCGTACAAACATGAAGAGTGTTTTCTTGCCAATATGTCTCTTGCCAGGTGCCCTGTAAATGTGTGAGATAAAGAGTATATGTGACAGAGGCCCACTTGGTAATAAGATTGATCGGATCACAAGTAGACACATTCCCGTTTACTAGTGTTTTAATCTGTCTCTTTTGTCCACTTTCAACCACTTCTGTCCTGATTTCTTCGAGCGGAGGGTCTATGGCCGGGTAAATGTATGCGCTTTATTCAGATCTTTCGATCTAATGGACTAAATAAGCTTGTCTAATTTACATATGAACAAGACCGGAGATGACAGAAAAACACACAGAGAGCATCAGCTTTAGTTTCTGCTCTGACAACAGCAACACCAGCTGAACACTGTCAGTGTTAGATATCAGGAATGGAGAAAGAACATGGTACGTTTTTCATCTCCACACCAAACTTGGGTCTTCAGCCGAAAAAGTTTAAATCCCGACTGGCTTGAGCGCTTCCCATAATGTTACGCATGAGGTCAGGAGACGGAGAGAAGACGGTCTTTTGAGGCTGTTTGATCACATGAGCGTTTACACTACGAAAGCAATCCGATCGAATGTGTTTTCTACCTCTGGAAGTGGTTGAAAGTGGACAAGCTGAAATCGTTTTAGACCCTGTTTACACCTGTATTTAGTGTCGTTCACTAGTGATCCGGTCGGCCAAAACACATAGTAATATCAGGTGTAAACAGGGTCAGCAAGGCACAAAGAAAGAGAAGGCTTCAATCTTCATAACACACAAATCACATCTGTGGTCCTCTGTCATTCCTTCATGAAAACCAACCTGGCTTTAGGCCGTTTTACATGCAAAGCAGTTGTATGTTGTGCAATAGGAATAGGCTGGAAGTGCCTAAGCACCTCATAATATCAGTTTGGTGTGTTTACCCACATCTCGACATATCACACATCTGTCAGTGCACACTTGACCTTTTCGGTTATGACAAGCACAGCAAATAGAGGTTGCGGCGAACCAGATCTATATAAACGAATTTTACATGATTGTTTCATGTTCAGGTTAAAGATCGAATGGCTCCGAATCACTGCGGGATTAACACGATCACTTCTCTTCTGTTCATGCCTAGTCTTATTTTTCTGCCACTGCTGTCTGTGTCAACGGGAGGATGACGGTTTGTGTGTGTCTCACTGTCGGCTCAGTGTATCGAGTCTGAGGCCCACAATATTTCTCTCAGACAAACACAGGACCATCATCACGGAGCAAGAACTGATGCCAGTACGCTGTACTAAAACATGAACAGACTCGAGCTGAGTGAGCATACTGGAGGCTTAGTGTGTCATTAAAACAGGACTTTATTCTGTGTTGTGGACTAACAGCCCAATGGACGACAGCAACAACTGGACACTAACCAACGGGAGACTGTAACAAGCTTGGGTTACTGAGAGTCTAGACTGGACCTGTGGATATGTACCATCTGTGGACTTTTGTGTGGTTGTAGGTATATCTAAACTCTATTTTAAACAAACTATGAGGAGTTGACTAGAGCTGCGTACAAAACAACCTCAGTTCTAATAATCAATACTGGTATAAGAGATGAGTTGACTCTCTTTTGTTATTTTTCTTGTTTGGTTTTGTACGCTCAACCACTAGAGTGTGATGTTGTGGTACATCCAGAATAAAGACTCTACATCCGTTATGAGCCATTCATTGGGTCTTCAGTAGGCGTACAGTGAGAGGAGGATAATAGAATTTAACTGTACATTTTTAAGTGTGAGAACAAATCAACTGAAAATATTTGTAAATATTCAGTTACTTGTTTGTTTAATGGGTTTTTTTTTTTCCCCCTTTGGTTTTTTTTTTTTTGTGTGTTTTTTTTCTGGTCAAATGAAATATAAGATACTCTGTGACCAGGACAACAGGTGCAAGTTGTAATTCAGCCACCAGCAAAATTGATGAATCCCATTCGTTGGAGGTTAAATTCACTTTCTGCTGCTTCATTTAGTTTTGTGATTTGTGTATAGAGGTGATTTATTGCTCTTGTATTTGAGCATAGAGATGGTGTATCATGTAGCATATCAAAGTCACTCATATTTCTGCACAAGTATGACCAGCTGTTCATTTCAGATACAAATCTTTAATATGGAGATATGGACTGGAAGCACTGGAAACAATGGTGGATATGAGAAGTATTTCATCTGCCATGAAATTGTTGTAGCATTAAACCAAAATGCAACCAGGACTTCTTTAAATATCTAAAATAGATGAAAAGTATTATTTTGTGATCACATTTTTACTACACTTAAGTATATACTATTGTTAACGAATTAAGCATCTAGTAGAATAATGCCAGAATAAAGATGGCATAAAGTGCGCAAGAGGCTCTCAATATGTCAAGCCTGGTGTTTTAAAGATTACTGAATAAATGAAGCACATGTTATTTCTAACAAAATAAACATTTTACTGGGTCCTAAAGCAAATTTACACCTGTTGCCCTGTTTTACTATATGTTCAGAATCAGAACGCCACACGTGATGAAGAATAAACATGCTAATAATGGATTTTAAAAAAGAAAAGGTAAAAATATATAAATAAGGTGATGATATTTCTCTTTATTTAGAAGTTATTACACACTGTATGCTGTGACTCTGATCTGGGGAACATTAAAGAAATTCATAGCCAGACATCAGACTCTGTTTCCTTTTAATCAAATTACTAATCATCTAAATGACTCATTTAATTGGAAGTAGTGCATTAAATAACTGCATTAAATTGCTGTACCTGAAGGGTAATTTCCAACAGCAACCTTGATGGACAACAGTATGGTCAACACACTATCAGGAGATCAACATGTTCAGCTATTCGCCACCCATCACTGGTGATTTGTTTGTGTCCGAAGTGCAAATGAGAAGCAAGTCAAGTCATCCTCATTTATGTAGCGCTTTTAACAATGTAGATTGTTTCAAAGCAGCTTTACAGAGATAAACATATCATTTAAGGTAACAGAGATTGGTTTGTCTTTATAGCGGTTCTTGAATAATGTTATTTCCAGCTAAAGTTAGTTTTGATTGATTCACTTCCGTCGAAATAATCATTTGTTATTAAATTAAGGGCCGCTAAGACGACACCGTTCTCTCTAAACAGACTTTAAACGCGAACCTGTGATAAACGCTTATGGCATTCACATGCGCATTAAGAATTTATTCTATAGTTATGTGCGTTTGAATATATGTGCGCAGGTTTGTAATTCCCTACAAACCATGCCTAAACTAACTACTTGTCTTGCCTATAAATGTATACATTTATAAATTTAAATTTAAAGCAAGGCTGACTGGAGAAGAGAGCGTTATCATTAGTGTTGGATAATCATTAAAGAAATTCATAGCCACACAAAACTAATTAAAATTAGTTAAAATCGGTCTTTTGAGGCTGTTCAAACACATTTGATCACATGAGCGTTTACACTACGAAAGCAATCCGGTTTGAATGCATTTTCATCTACCTCTGGAAGTGGTCGTAGTGAAGCTCAAAATGTTTTAGACCCCTTTACACCTGTATTTAGTGTCATCCACTTGTGATCCGATCGACCACAACGCATCTTAATAGCAGGTGTAAACGGGGCCAAAGGGTAAATAGACGTTTGTCATTTCAATTCAGGTTTTTTCACCTCAGAAAAAAATGTACCAATAAGTTGAATAAGCAAAACTTTCAGTTAACAATAAGTAACATTTTGCATTTGCATTCACATTTATTTATTTAGCAAGCACTTTATTCCAAAACAGAGGTTTGTTTAATTGGTTACATTAGGTAGTACATT